GGAGGAGGAGAGGAGGAGGAGAGGTGGAGGAGAGGTGGAGGAGGCCTCGAACGAGCCCATCTTTTGGTTCTTGAGCAGCTTTTGCGCAATCACGAGCCGGAGCGCATCCGAGCAAGACGCCATCGTCATAAAGAGCACCCCGATGAGCGAAAAGTTGACCTGCTCACACGGCTTGCGCGTGTGAACCAGCGCCGTCCTCGTGAGCTCGCACTCCGATGACACCCAGAAGGGGGGCTGGCCTGCTCACAGCGCCCTTCGTGAAGGCGGCGTGCATTGTGTCGCATTGCCGTGCAGTGAAGTCCAGACGGCTCGCCTCGCCCGCCGAAGCGATGCACGTGCACACCGACAGCCCGAGTACGCACCGGATGACGCGGTTGGACGGCCGCTCCACACCTGTTCACGGCCTTCGTGTCTGCTCGCCGCATCCACCCTCTCTTTCTGCCCAGTTGGACGGCCGCTCAAAGCCTGCTCACACGGCCCATCTTGCTGGCGCATTCCACTCTCTTTCTGCCCAGTTGGACAAATGCTCGAAGCCTGCTCACACACGGCACGTCTTTCCGGATGACCGTCCCCCGTCGCGCTACAACCGGCGGCTCCGCGCCGAGGCAAAAGAGGAAGCAGATCATGTACGCCGGCGAGAAGGCCTTCAGCATCTGGATGAAGGCCACGGTCAGGTAAAAGTACGGGTACTGGCCGAGCACCAGCGCCAGCGCCGAGACGCAGCCGAGCACGAGCAGCGTGGTGGCGCCGATCTTGCGGCCTGTCTCGAGGCTCTCGCCCGTGATGAAGACGACGACGGCGGCGCACAAGGCGGTGGCAACCTGCGGGGTGAAATGCCGCACCTCCAGAGCATCGAACCCAGTGTGGGTTCAGTCCCGTGGGTGGTGTGGTAGCAGTGGGGTCCACCGTGCCCGGTGAAATGCGCCGACATCAGGGCGGGGAGACGGTACTGTGCAGTGCATTCGTAGCACCGCGTGAATGTGAGGGGCTACGAGTCCAGCCAACGCGGCCGAACACGGCTGAACAGAGTCGAGTGCGTGCCCCCTCGAGCGCTAGTTGGGATGCAAGAACACGTACTCCGCTCCTAGGCTGCGCTGCCAGATATGGGGGAGATACGGGGGAGATATGGGGAGATCTTCTGCTTCTAGGCGTGGAATACCTGCCCCATCGCAGACACCATCACCGGGTATCCGAAGCCCTTGTCCTTCATCAGGATCTTGTTGGCCATGATGGCCACGGGGGAGGCGATGAGGTAGAGCATCGTGTACAGCAGCGTCACCAGCACGCTCCGCGAAAGGAACCGCTGCGCGCCTGCGCGGTGATGAGTACGCCAACCTTAGGGTATTGTGCGGTATTGCGCAGTGCCATTCAGAGCACCGCGTGCATACGGGGGGGTACGAACACAGTGAACACAACCGAATACGGCGGGGTACAGTTGAATGCGTGTCCTCCTCGAGCGCTACTTGGGATACACGACTGCGCATGCACATTGAGGTAGGCAGCGAGGGCGGGACCGGTGACGGCGGCGGCGAGGGCGGTGGTGAGGGTGGGGGCGGCGAGGGAGGTGGGCTCGGCGGCGAGGGGGGTGAGGGAAGCGGTGAGGGCGGGGGCGGCGACGAAGGCGGCGAGTGCAGTGGTGAGGGCGGGGATACAAGAATGCGCATTCCGCGTCTAGCGCTGCGCGCAGTACGCGAAGATGAGGAAGAAGGAGAAGGCCTGACGGGTTAGGGTTAGGGTTAGGGAGGAAGAAGGAGTTGGCCTGTCGTGCGCAACTCGACCCGTGAGTGATTGTGGACGTGTGGAGGGGGAGAGGAGGCGGCTCAGAGAAGGAGGGCGTCCTACGCGAGGGAGCGACGGCGGGAGATTGCGGGAGACTGCGGGGAGATTGCGGGAGATTGCCCATTACCTACGCCAGGAAGCGAGCGTCCGTCTTTTGAGGGCACGGTCAACGGCGACAGGCGAGGGCGAGCAGGGGCGAGATTGCCCAGCCAATCGCGGCGAGCGGCCCGAGATTGTCCATTACCTACGGTTAGGGTTAGGGTTAGGGTTGGGTTAGGGTTAGATTGACCACGCGGTGCTGAATACGCCAACATGAGGGCGGGAAAACGGTATAGCGCAGTGTCTTCAGAGCACCGCGTGAATACGAGGGAGGCGACGACAGCTGAATGCGGCCGAGTACAGCTGAGTCCGTGTCCTCTCGAGCGCTACTAGGAGTACACGAATACGTACTCGGCTTCTAGCAGCTTCTAGGCTCCATGACCAAGTCGTGAAACTGCTGCAACCTCAGCCGCTTCGCCAGCGCGGACTCGCGCCGGTCGACGCCGCCGATGCTCGGCGCCCGCGCCACCACCGAAGGCTTTAGCGGCACCTTCCACTCCTCCTCCCCCTTGGGGCGCACCTGCAGGGAAGGCTCCGGGAAGGCTCCCGGAAGGCTCCAGGGAAGCGCCGCCCGGGCAACACGCCGCCGTCGGATCGGCCGCGCACCTCGCCGTGGGAGTGGGAGCGCGTCCCGCCGCCGCCGTCCGTCGCCCGCCGCGTGGAGCTGTCCGGCGCCGCGTGCACGCTGCCGCTGTGGCTCGCCTCGGGCGTAGCCCCGCCCTGTTCTCTGGCGACCTCCGCAGTCGACGAGGCGTCGGGGTTGAGCCTGCGCTCCTCCGCCACAGCGGCCGCCGCCTCCGCCGCAGCGACTGCCGCCTCAGCCGCAGCGACTGCCGCCTCCGCCGCGAGCGTCTGCGCACCGGTTGACGCGCGCTCCAGACCTAGGTGGTCGCTGCCCGCGACGCTCGGAGCCGTGGCGCCGTGTGCGCGGAGCAGCGCGAGCAGTGAGAGGAGGGCGAGCGCCGGGACGGCGAGGCGCATCGCGCGGCCGCCAGTGAATGGCCGGCGAGCCCGTGCTTTAGGCGCTCTCGCTCCTGCGGGGCTGCGAATTCTGCCGGCGGTCGGCACTCGGTGCTGCCTCCCGCGGCGCCGCTGCGACTTAGCGCGTGTGCGTGCTTGTGCGCTTTCTTTGGCGACCTGGAGCCGCCCGCGGCCGCTGCCGAAGGCACCAGTCGCACGGACTTCAGCTCGGTACACGCGCTGCCGGCCGGTGGGCCACGCTCTGATGGACGACGCTCTGGTGCCCTAGACCAGCGCCAACCCCAACAGAGCTCTCCCGGCCGGCCGCTGCGACGCGACAGCCTGGTCCCCGAGCCTCCTGCTGCTGCCACGGCCCGACCTCCAGGCACAAGGCTCGCCTCGCAGCAGCCCGAGCAGCAGCCCGAGCAGCAGCCCGAGCAGCAGCCCGAGCAGCAGCCCGAGCAGCAGCCCGAGCAGCAGCCCGAGCAGCAGCCCGAGCAGCAGCCCGAGCAGCAGCCTGAGCAGCAGCCTGAGCAGCAACCCACCTGTGCCTCCGCCTTTGCCTCGACCTCCTCCGCCCCCTCCACCTCCGCAGCCGCCGCCCCTGCCTCTGCCGTCTCTGCCCTCTGCTGCCGCCACTGCTCCTCCTGTGACGCAACGCCATTCTGTCGCTGTCCTTGTCGTACCGGTATCAGCCTCTCTAAGAGCATCCGGGACGACTCCACCCTTCATTCCTGCTGCGCTGCCGCGAGCTACGCTGGGGGCTATGTCGCGCGTGGCGCTGCTGGCGGCTGCGCTGCTTCCTTTGCGGGCGTCGTGCACACCTCAGTTACAGTAACCCAAAACAACCTGACGTGGGGACCCGCGCCGGCATCCAAGATGGTGCCAGAGGCTGGCCAGAGGGTCCCACATCACTGCAACGGTAATGACACTGACATAGCTCGCCGTACTGCTGGCCACGCCATGGCGATCCACTCTCGCGGCGTCAGCGGCTGAGCAGCGTCGCAGATGCTGTCGCAAAGGCCGGTCGGGGCCGCATCGGTGAGCTGACCCAGCCGGAAATCTCGACGACAACAGAAGATAAACGCATACCAGATCTTCGACTGCGCGCTGACCCACGTGTCTCCGTGTCGGTAGAAGAAGCGAGGCAGTCGAAAGACGAGCGCGATGCCGTCAACGACGACACTCGGCTCGGCTGCATCCACCGCCACCACGGCAATCGCAACGAAGAACGATAAAACCGCACGAGAACCACAGCACAGAATGGCACCGCAAGCGCCAGCGTGGACGAATGACGTCTCAAGCCAACGCAAGCCTGCATCTGCGACTGTATCTGGTAGGCGCGGTAGCGGTAGACGGGCGAGCCACAGCTGGCAAGATGCGGATCGACATAGACCTTGCTCGAGCCGCGGCGAGCCGAAAGTGGAGCGTGTCAGGATCGGCGCCTCGGCTGTGAACTGACCTCGCTGTGAATGTCACCGCCGTCACAGACACTATTGTCCATGAATGGTAAGACTGATAGTAGAGTAGAATCGGGTCGAGCGACCGGCCCAGTCGACCGTCCCCTCCCCTCAGCAGAGCGGGCGAGAATCCTAACGGATTCACGCCTCCTGCAAAGGAATAAAATAGACGGCCTCCTGTCAGTACTGACAGGAACGCCGTTTAGGGGTTAAAGCCGTACCTTGAACAACACGGGAGAAGAACTTTAACACGTTTACTGGGAGGGTGAGGGAAGGAACTTAGAAGCCCCAGCGTATTTCGAATCGATTCATGCATGTGGTTGGATGCCGGTTGCCGCACGGAGGCCCCTGAGGCTCTCTGCATGCGGACGCTCGGAGGTGCAGCTCAGCTGAGACGCGTCTCTCGCCCCCCGGAGGCTCGCGCCCCCACTGTATCGCTGCGCCTCACACGCTTGGTGTCACATCGCGATGTCGGCATCGCCCTTGGCCAACGCCTACTCGAAGTAGGCAACCTCTTAGAAGGCGCCCCGGCCTTGGCGCCGGGTGGCCAGGTACAGCCACATGAGACATCACCTCATTTCTCGGCTACTCTCGGCTACTCTCGGCTACTCTCGGCTACTCTCGGCTACTCTCGGCTACTCTCGGCCCATCTCTCGGCTACTCTCGGCTACCGGCATCTCTCGGCTACTCTCTCGGCCCATTTCGGCTACTCTCAAGCCTCGCAGGCCGTGCGGAGCCGCTTGAGGCACTTTGCGACATCCGTCGCGGTCGACTTGGCCGCCATCTCCGCGACGCCTGCGCACGGGGAAGGTTCCGAGAAGGTTCCGAGAAGAATCCATTGAGAGGAGCGTTGACTAATAGCGCTCTTGAAGAGGAGCGTGTGGTCGCAACGGATTGAGTACAAATATGACCAATTAATTAAGTGATTGGCGCCTGTGCACTTAAAAAGGAACGTTGATTAACAGCGCCTTTGAACTTGGTAACGGATTGAGTACAAGTATGACCAACTAAAACTAGTGATTGGCGCCTGTGCACTTAAAAAAGGAACGGTGATTAACAGCGCCTTTGAACTTGGTCGCAACGAATTGATTATTATTAGCTAATTGATCGAGTAATTAGCGCCTGTGCACTTGAAGAGGAGCTTCGTCACCCACCAGTCGAACCCGCCTGCAGGGGGCAGCCTTCACTAAGTAACTCTCCCTGCCGTTGCTCGTTGAGCGACGTCCGAATCTCGACGAATCTCGACGAATCTCGACGAATCTCGACGACTCGACGACTCTCGACGACTCTCGACGACTCTCGACGACTCTCGACGACTCTCGACGACTCTCTGCGCGCCGTTGAGCGCGAAGTCGCACGCGATCGAGACGGAGCACGAATTCGGGCCTGTTGCCATCATCACGGAGACTCGTTAATTCAGCTCGGGCCAAGCCCCCTCGATCGGGGCGGAGCGCGAGGGTGTGGGCCGCCGGTCGGCTCGACGACAAACCCGAGGACCTTGGTGTCCCCTCGCACGTACTGCACCTTCTTGTTCTCCGAGCCGTCGACCTGGGGTCAGCGCGGGGTCAGCGCGGGGTAAGGGCGGGGGTAAGGGCGGGGGATTACTGACTCCTCCCTGAGTACTACTACTGTGAATGGTTAATCAATAAGTCATAGTGTTAACTCATCGTGTTTTTCGCGCACCGGCGGGATATGCGACGAGACGACACCAGTAATTGTGAATCAAAATCTCGTTATTAATTAACTAATTCGCACCGGCGGGATGTGCGACGAGACGACACCAGTAATTGTTAATCAAAATCTCGTTATTAATTAACTAATTCGCACCGGCGGGATGTGCGACGAGACGATCGAGTGGCAGACGATGGTCTTCGAGTACCTTCCGCGAGATTGCGCGAGATTGGGCCGAGCTTCGGCCGAGGTCGTCTCTTCGGGCGATCGACGCAGCTAGACCTCGGCTAGACCTCGGCTAGACCTCGGCTATCTAGCTCTCTCGGCTAGCTCTCTCGGCTAGACCTCGGCTAGTGAGATCTCGGCTAGACCTCGGCTAGACCTCGGCTAGACCGCGGCTGCCTTTTGGCTAGCTCTCTCGGCTCGCTCTCTCGGCTCGCTCTCTCGGCTAGATCTCACTTGTTTGCGATGACGGACGTGTCGCGCGCAGAGGTGGCGGCGGCGGCGCCTAAAAATAACTCTTTAAAAGAACTCTGAATTAAAGAGCCACTTTTGCGTTCGCGCGGGCGTGGCGGCGGCGGCGGCGGCGGCGCCTGATCAAGTATAGAACTGGCTGCTCACTCCAAGGCCGGGTGCCTCTCGTTCGGGCGTGGCGGCGGCGGAGGCGGCGCCGAGGGAGGGCGGCGCGAACTTGATGTGCAGGATGCGGCAGGTTGGCGTGTACCTGAGTCGGTAATCAATGACTCGTTCATTGCTAATGAGAGCTTAATGTGCAGAGTGCGGCGCGAGCGGGCACGTACCTGTTTCATTAAATCATGAGAGTATTCGCTAGGTAGAGCTTAATGACAGGCAGAGGCGGCGAGCGGGCGCGTACCTGTTTCATTAAATCATGAGAGTATTCGCTAGGTAGAGCTTAATGACAGGCAGAGGCGGCGAGCGGGCACGTACCTGTTTCATTAAATCATGAGAGTATTTGCTAGGTAGAGCTGAATGACAGGCAGAGGCGGCGAGCGGGCACGTACCTGTTTCATTAAATCATGAGAGTATTTGCTAGGTAGAGCTTAATGACAGGCAGAGGCGGCGAGCGGGCGCGTACCTGTTTCATTAAACCATGAGAGTATTCGCTAGGTAGAGCTTAATGACAGGCAGAGGCGGCGAGCGGGCGCGTACCTGTTTCATTAAACCATGAGAGTATTCGCTAGGTAGAGCTTAATGACAGGCAGAGGCGGCGAGCGGGCGCGTACCTGTTTCATTAAACCATGAGAGTATTCGCTAGGTAGAGCTTAATGACAGGCAGAGGCGGCGAGCGGGCGCGTACCTGTTTCATTAAACCATGAGAGTATTCGCTAGGTAGAGCTTAATGACAGGCAGAGGCGGCGAGCGGGCGCGTACCTGTTTCATTAAATCATGAGAGTATTCGCTAGGTAGAGCTTAATGACAGGCAGAGGCGGCGAGCGGGCGCGTACCTGTTTCATTAAACCATGAGAGTATTCGCTAGGTAGAGCTTAATGACAGGCAGAGGCGGCGAGCGCGTACTCGTGGATGACCTCGTGAGACCCGACCAGACTCTTCCAGATCTTGCAGACGGTCGTAGCGCGCCTAACTCATTCTGAGCTGCCTGTTAACTGAGGGAGGCTCTTCCAGATCGTGCGCAGGCAGTCGTGGCGCGCGCCCGTCCCAGAGGAGGTCCATCGCCTGCGAATTGGACTGGCTGACTAACTTATTTATTAAGAAACTGTGAACTGGTAGGAAGGTGATGAACTAATGAGACAACCATATCCGCCCCAAAGCAGCTCCATCTCCGTCTCTTGCGCGGGCAGGCGATCTCGACCCCTCGTCTCGATCTCGCTCCAATCTCGCTGCATTCTCGCCGTCTCTTTCGGGCAGGCAATCTCGATCTGGGCGAGGAGGAAGAGGTCGCCTAGTTCATATTAGAAAGAGTGGAGAATTAACATTGATTCGCAGAAGTGATCTGGGCGAGGAGGAAGAGGTCGCCTAATCAATCAATACTCATCTCGCCAATTGACAACTAATAATTGATGACGGGCGAGGAGTGGAGCAGCTCGCCGTCCGGAGACACGTCGTACTTCGCCTTGACCCCGGCCACCGCGTCGGCGCCTGAGATGGTATAAATTCATTGAGGTTAAGACTCCTTCCTTCGCCTCTCCACCCCCGCCACCGCGTCCGCGCCTGCATAAACACAGCAGACGTAAAGAAACCGGGCAGAGCTGCCTGGCGATGGGGTACACAAAAGGAACGCGACGCGCCTAAGATGGTATTCACTGGAATTAAGAATCATTCCTTCGCCTCTCCACCCCCGCCACCGCGCCGGCTCCCGCCAACAATCGACTAACCCCCTCCGAATACTAAGTCCTTCCGCCGGGTCCATGCCCCCGCCCAACACAACGTCCATGCCCCGCCCACACACAATGTCGGCGCTGCTCCCTTCTCGACTGTCCAGCAGCAGCGACATGTGGGGAGGTAGGCGCGCGAATGCGATGCTCGGGCTGCCGCACTGATCTCCCCCTATCTCCGCATATCTCCGCACATCTCCCCACATCTCCCCACATCTCCCCACATCTCCCCACATCTCCCCACATCTCGCCATATCTCGCCATATCTCCCCATATCTCCCCATATCTCCCCAGATCTCCCCCTAGGCGCTCCCTTCTCGTCCACCAGCATCGACCCCGGGAAAGCCTCGAAGTTGTCCGCAAGGTTCACGAGGGCAGACTTGGAGTCCGCGAGCGCCTGAAGTAATCAGTTGATGACTGATTAATCATGCGTTAGTGTGTCGAGGTTCACGAGGGCAGACTTGGAGTCCGCGAGCGCCTGAAGTAATCCGTTGATGAATGATTAATCATGCGTTAGTGTGTCGAGGTTCACGAGGGCAGACTTGGAGTCCGCGAGCGCCTGAAGTAATCCGTTGATGAGTTATTAATCATGCGTTAGTGTGTCGAGGTTCACGAGGGCAGACTTGGAGTCCGCGAGCGCCTGAAGTAATCCGTTGATGAGTTATTAATCATGCGTTAGTGTGTCGAGGTTCACGAGGGCAGACTTGGAGTCCGCGAGCGCCTGAAGTGATCAGTTGATGAATGATTAATCATGCGTTAGTGTGTCGAGGTTCACGAGGGCAGACTTGGAGTCCGCGGGCGCCTGAGGTATCGATGAATCAATGACGAGTTAGAATGGTAATTCGTGACTGTCGCCCGAGGAGGAGAAGGGGCAGTCGGCGAGCGCCTCAACGTCCGACATCGCCTGCGGGTAGAAGGTAAGGTAAGGAGAAGGAGGAGGAGAATGAACTAAATGTGATTTCTTCATTCGATTCGATAGGACGGGCCGCATCTAATAAATAACTAAAATAGAGGAGTAATTAAATACATGAGATTCATCGCCTGGTAGAAGGACGACTCCGGCCGCATCGCGAACCCTTGCGACTTCTCCGGCGCCGCGCCCTAACGGCAAGTTGAGGCAAAGTAAGGCAAGGTAAGGCACGGTAAGGTAAGGAAACTAATGAGCGGTGTGCGTTGTCTCCAAAGTATACAACAGGCGGGCCCCTGTTCCTTTCTACCCATCAACTAGTTCAGGAGTGACCGTCCGTTGTGTATGCACTAACTTGCGTGCCTGCTCCTCCTCGCCGCTGGCGATGGCCTTGGCGAAGTCAAGCATCGAGTTCCGCTTCGCCTGAAGACAGAAGAAACGAATGATTAATTATTAATTAGCGGCGAGGTCAAGCATCGAGTGGCGCTCGCCTGGAGAAGAAAACAACCACTAGAAATCTCCGAATCTCCGCGATACAATCTCCCGCTGGCGCTCGCCTTGGGCGTCAGCGACCAGTCCGGCTTCGGCTTGGCCCTGCGGCGAGAGGCGTGTGGAGCTCTCTCAGGCCGAGCGAGCATCAGTTGCACAGAAGGAGGAACTGCCGCCGCGGCGCGTGCGCGCGGTGTGTGCGGTGATATCTTACTCTCGGTATGTGTGGCAGCCGACCTCGCTGGGTCTTGCGCGAGTGTCTGCGTGTCTGTGTGTCGCTCCAGGGCGTGCCGTCCTCTCCTGTCCCGCGTCCACCCATACCGCGCTGGTGTCGGGAGACATGCATCCACACGAGCGTGTCTCTGTGTCTGTGTCGCTGTGTCCACACGAGGCTCCCATCGCTCAGACCCCATCAGAGCCTGTGTCTGTGTGTGTGCACAGTCACGGTGTGTGGCGCGCGTGTCTCTGCTCGAGCTCAGTCTAGGGGCGGCGTCGAGGGAGGCGCGAGCTGCCGAGGAGATGGAGGGAGGCCCGCCCGACGGCGCCCCACGGCGTGAGATAGCGCGCCCGTGAGATCGTGAGGCGCGGCAGCCGGGCGGCGGCGGGCGGCGGCGGTGATTTGGCGGCACGGCGGCGGTGGCAGGGCCTGGTGTTCGCTTACCCACCCAGCGGCCTCCTCTCTCTTCACCCAAGCATCCCCGAGTGCGCTGCGCCCGTCGCACGAGGCGCTGTGTGATGCGGCGTCCTAGATGCGAATGCGAGGAGGCGAGGGCGCGGCGGCGCGCTCACTTCGCAGCGGCGTGGAGGCTTCCCTTTGCCGACATGGCGCGAGACGGGGCCTGTGGGCGACTTGTGCGCTGCTCGAGGTAAAGACCGTCGACCAGGTCAAGACGCTGTCGAGCAGCGAAATAAATGATTTACCTGGGCGCGCTTCTTAGCTCCCCGGCTTGTTTGTGTCTGTGTGTCGCTCGTGCGTGTCGTCATCATCTGTCCCGCGTCCACCCATACCGCGCTGGAGACCAGTCCGAGCCCGACTGTTTCCTCGCCTTTCTTCGCCTTTCTTCGCCTTTCTATCCATCAACCAAGCAAGAAATGTGGCACCAGAGTGATTTGGGCTCGGCAGCTTCTCAACCAATCGGTCCTGGGCGTGAGGTTAATGACCGCACTCCAAGTGCTCCAAGTGCGCCAGAGGCTTGCCAAGTGGACACTGGGGATTGATTCACTGGAAGGCGAAGAACAGCCAGGCTCGGACTGGACATGGACGCAAGGCCAGGGGAGAGATGACGGCACACGCTGGAGCGACACACAGACACACAAACTCACAAGACACACAGTGATTTTGTGTGAGCTCTGTGTCTTGATCTGCTAAACAAACCTAAAAACAAGAAACACTCGCTCGCGGACCCCCCCGGGGGGACGCGTCCATCGACGGTTGTCTATCCAACGACCGATGAAACGGAAAGTCCCTCGCGACCGGGCCGGCGCCGCGCGCGAGTAATGCGGCCCACGTCCGCGGCGACGGGTGCCGCGCGGCGTCGGCGACGACGAGAGAGGCGGCGCGGGCCACGCACGCTGCCGACCGGGCCGCATCTGCAGCCATTGCCAAGGAGGCCGCCGCTGCAGAGGTGGTTGCGGGATCGGCCGTGGCGGCCGAGGCGGCGGCGCGGGCGGCAAGGGCGGACGCAGCAGCGGCGATCGCGGCGGCGGCGCGCGACGCGGAGGAGCGAGAGGTTGACGCGAGGCGGCAGCTCGACCTTTCAGAGGTGACGCTCGGGGGCGGTGCCCTCCGGGCGGTGCGTGCCACAGCTCGCCTGAGGCGAAGCGCGTGTGTTGATAGGCAGAGGCAGCGCGGCTTGGGCAGCAGCTGGAGAAGGCGCGCCGCGCCGCGCGAGTGGCGGCGAGGCAGGCAGCGGCAAAGATGGCGATCCCTGACGTGCCTGCTTCCGAGACGGAGGAGGCGGAGGCGGAGCTGGACGTAGCGATCGCGACGGCGACGAGGGCGGAGGCGGCCATCGCGGAGACGCAGAGGGACATGCTAGCGGCCCGCCTCGCGGCGGCGAGGGAGGAGCACGAAGAGGCGCTTTTGGCCGCCGAGCGAGCTGAGCAGAGCGCAGAGTTTTCCCGAGCCGAGGCGGATCGCGCGGCGGCGGAGGCCATGGCGGCGATGAGTGAGACGTCGGGGCTGCGAGAGGCGCTCTCGGATTTGACGACAGACGTTGCGGCGGCGAGAGTAGAGGTGGAGGTGGTGCGGCAGGAGGCTGCGGCGCGGGCGGCCGAGGCGGCAACGGCGAGGGCCGAGGCGGAGGCCTTGCAAGAGGAGGTGGTTGCTCAGGCCTCCGAGACGGCGGCTGCGCGGTCGGAGCTCGAGCTCCGGAAGGAGGAGGCGGCCGTGGCGCGAGGCGAGCGCGACGCGGCCTTGCACGAGGCTGCGGCCGCGTCGGACGACCGGCTCCGTCGGGCGGCGGAGCAGGTGAGGCAGGCGAAGAAGGAGACTGCGGCTGCAGAGGCGACGGCTGCGGAGGCGCGGGCGGCGCAACGCGACTTTAACGCGGCGGTCGTCGCCGCTGAGGAGCAGCAGGCGACCCTCGCGGCGGCCGTGGAGGCGGCAGAACAGCGGGCCCGCGACGCGGAGGCGGCCGCTGCGGCGAGCCGCGACTCAAAGGCGGTGGCTGCGGCAGTCGCACAGCTCGCCGAGGCGGCGGCGGCGGCGGCGGCGGCGGACGAGCGGGCGGCAGAGGGCGAGGCGGCGGCGGCAGCGATGCGCGAGGAGTGCGACGAGCTGAGGGCGGCGCTGGAAGAGGCGCGCGTTGCGGACGCGGATCTTCGGCGCAGCGCATCGGAGGAGGCTGCAGCGCTGCGGCGCGAGGTGGATGTGGCTCGGAAGGCGGCGGAGATCGCTCAGGCGGCAGAAGCGGCAGCGGCAGCAGCTGCGGCCGTTGCATCGCCGACTGTGGCGGCGGATGAGGCCGCGATCGCACACGGCTCGATGAGTCACGCCTTTGGGGAGCACAGCGAAAGCCGGCCCAGCAAGCTGGACGAGGTGCTCCGTGGACTGGAGGAGACCGTCGAAGGCGGGCTGTTCTGCCGTGCCCCAGCGCCAGCCTTGCCCATGCCAACTGTCGCGCATAGAACTTAGCTCGCCAACCCCTACTTGCACCCCTCTCCAGGTCCCGGATGTGGTTCCGTACCGGCGATTCTGCAAGGTTCCGCCCACCTCGTCCCGCCAGCCGGCCGCCTCCCTTGCAACAGGGAGACACCGTCACAGCTTGCAGCCGCGCAACCCCTAACAGCCTAATAGCCCCACAGCACCGCAGCACCGCAGCACCGCAGCACCGCAGCACCGCAGCACCGCAGCGCCATGTGATTGAGCAGTCGCTGCTTAGACCATTTGTCTGTACTGTAGCCACGCAATACGATGAGCTACGACCCCACGCTGCCGCCCGAGCCGGGCTACAACCAGTTCCGCACCACCAACCAGCCTCGCACGCCTAGCGCTAGGTCTGACACCCGACCGCCCCCCCCTCCCTAATATTAGCCGGTAGGAGCACATTTTGGCCGGCTAATGTTAGGGAGGGGAGGCCAAAAAACGCATACTTTTGTCCACCTACCAGGGTTAAGTAGGACGCCTACTAGACGCACTCTAATCCAGAGACGCATTCGGTAAACAAAGATGGGGGGGTCCCCCCCACAGACGAGGCAGCCCGTGCCTGTTGGTGTACCCCCGAGTTCATTTTGAGAAGAGATGTGAAGAAGATCTAAAATCTCTCTCTCAATGTGTGTGTGTGTGTGTGTGTGTGTGTGTGTGTGTGTGTGTGTGTGCGGTGTGTCATGGAGGCAACCGATGCGAGTCAACTGGGTGTGTGTCGAGTGTCGTCGTGGTTTCGTATCAAGAATTGTCACTCACACACACGAACACGATTCGACAGGCAAGGCGCGTGCGAGAAAAGAAAAGAATTTACAGTAGGAGAGCCTGCCGGAGAGCAGGCCCAATAGCGCTGCCTCGAGCAGCTACTAGCTCGGGATGTGGTCGGCCATCACGTCGTGCTTGAGCTTCATCCCCAGCGTGCCTGTTAACACAGCCTAGATTGTTATCAGCATTAAGAAAACATCTCGGCTGTATCGCGGCGAGGGTGGCGCCGAGGGTGGCGCCGACGCCGCGCAGCGTCGCCTCCAGCACCTGTTCACAGCTGCAGCTGTGAAGAGACGCCGCGCGCACACACACGGGGCGCAGCGTCGCGCTCTGAGCGCCTCGCGTACGTGGAGCTCCGACGGCTTCCTGTTGCCAATCACAAGAGTCGTCAGCATGATTGTTCACCTTTGTCTTAACGCTCTCAATCGCGCGGATCTCCGACGGGCTTCCGTTCACCTGTAGCATCACTATCAATATCGATGTCGCTGAGATAACGCGGGGCTATGTCTCCGACGGCGACCTGGATGATGTCTCAACTGCACCTCGGCCACATCTCGGCTATATCTCCGACGGCTTCCTGGGCGGCACAGAGAGGGCGCGCGCGGCGGCGAGGTAGCGCGAGGTGCGCACCTGCAGTAAACTCAAAGCGGACGGCTCTCTCACAGACAGAGATGGTAGCGGCGAGGGAGCGCCAGAGGTGCGCGCCAGTACGACGGCGTGCTGCGGCAGTTTCCCTCGCTGCAGATCTGCTTCTTTCGGGGTGACGGCGCCTGATAGTCATTAAATTCATCGTTGACTATTCATTGAAGCTCCTTTTTTAGCTTCTTTTGGGGTGCCTGTCAGGAACGACGAACCACATTACGGATGAAGCAAATCTCCGCTCTTGCGGGGGGTGGTGGGGGGGGGGGGGGGCTGTTGTGAACCATTAATTAACCATTAGTTCTCACGCAGAGCACCCCTCACTGCAAAACAGCCTCCGTTAAAAAAAGGGGGGGGGGGGGGGGAAGGGGGAAGGGGGGGGGGGGTGGCGCACCGTCGGCGTGGCGCGTCAGCAGGAAGAAGACGTTGGTGTCTGGGAACTTAAAGTGCCACCCGCCGCGCTTCAGCACGGCCAGCGCGCCTATTCACAGCTGCAGGTGTGAAGAGACGCCGTTCACACCAGAGCTGTCCTCTAGCTCCTCCTCTCGCCTGTTCACAGCTGCAGGTGTGAAGAGACGCCGTTCACACCAGAGCTGTCCTCTAGCTCGTCCTCTCGCCTGTTCACAGCTGCAGGTGTGAAGAGACGCCGTTCACACCAGAGCTGTCCTCTAGCTCGTCCTCTCGCCTGTTCACAGCTGCAGGTGTGAAGAGACGCCGTTCACACCAGAGCTGTCCTCTAGCTCGTCCTCTCGCCTGTTCACAGCTGCAGGTGTGAAGAGACGCCGTTCACACCAGAGCTGTCCTCTAGCTCGTCCTCTCGCCTGTTCACAGCTGCAGGTGTGAAGAGACGCCGTTCACACGCGCCTCGCCGCCGCCGCAACGTCCTCGGCTGCATCTAGGCTGCATCTCGGCTGCATCTCGGCTGCATCTAGGCTGCATCTCGGCTGCATCTAGGCTGCATCTCGGCTGCATCTCGGGTGCATCTCGTCTGCATCTCGGCTGCATCTCGGCTGCATCTAGGCTGCATCTCGGCTGCATCTCGGCTCATCTCGGCTGCATCTCGGCTAGCTCGCGCCCTCTCGCAGCACCACTCTGTCCGAGCAGACGAGCACCTGTTCACAGCAGCAGGTGTGAAGAGACGCCGTTCACAGCGCGAGGCTCCGTCCGAGCAGACAAGCACCTAACACACGACCCGTGTGAGTAGGCTTCTGAGCACTGATGACTTAGTGTGTTGTCCGAGCAGGCGAGCGCCCACGCTGGCAGCGGGTCCGACGCCGCCAGTCCTCGCGCCTGATCCCATAGCATGGTACGCTTCAGGACGCGAACTCCGACGCCGGCTGTTGGTTCCGTCGGCGCCGCCTTAAGTCCAGCCTTGCTAAACGTGAGTGGTTGCCTCGTCACTCCGCCCGCCGCCGCCCAGCCCTCGGCGCCTACGCCGCTCCGGTATGCCACATTACGCTTTGGCGGTGCATCTCCTCGGCGCCCGCCACAACCCGCCCGCCCGCCTGACTAAACAGTGCTACTATGGTTGCAGCCCCCATGACTTCTCTTCCACCTGGCGGTGCGATTGGTATACCTCCCGCGGGGAGATGGGGAGATATGAGGAGATACGGGGAGATATGGGGAGATGTGGGGAGATATGGGAAAATGGGGAGATACGGGGAGATACGAGGAGATATGGGGAGATATGGGGAGATATGGGGAGATGTGGGGAGATATGGGGAGATACGGGGAGATATGGGGAGATATGGGGAGATATGGGGAGATATGGGGAGATGTGGGGAGATATGGGGAAATACGGGGAGACATGGGGAGATATGGGGAGATATGGGGAGATATGGGGAGATATGGGGAGATGAGGGGAGATGTCAGCGTGCTGGCGGCCCTCTGTAGCACCAAGTGCAAAGGAAAGAGTGGGGAGATATGGGGAGATATGGCCAGGTGCAAAGGAAAGAGTGGGCTGGTATGATTGGCTATGACCCGTCTTTACTTCCGTACTCAGCCCGCGCGCCTCCGCCGACAGGCGCTGCCGGTCTCGCTTCAGCAGCGCCGCCACCGCGCCGGCGTCCTGCAGGTAGGTAGGTAGGTAGGTGTTACCCCACACGGTCTACTGCAAAGACAAGGAGGGCCCACAGCACACACACACCAAGAGTGCATGTGCTGCACTGGACATCAGAGGGCCAAGGGTTGGATCAAGCAGTGGGAGCGCCGGCGTCCTGCACCGGTAGTTAGTTCACTAACCATGACGTAGTTAACTATTCTTTCGCCTCCGCGCTCGTATCCTGCCCGCGGGCTGAAGACTGTTCGTGTTCTTCTCCACAACCAGTCATCAGCAAGTTAACGTGTTCTCGTGGTCATTAGCACTGCGTGCTCTCATTGGCAAGTGGCTGTTCATTCTCACTCATTAATAAGTGGCTGTTTATTCTCATTCATTAGTAAGTGGCTCATTACTCACTCATTAGTCTCCTGCTCGCGCGCTTTGACGAACCCATATCCCCCCATATCTCCCCATATCTCCCTGTATCTCCCCACTCCTGCTCGCGTGCTTTGACGAACCAGTCCAGCTCGGAGGCGTCCCAGCTTTCCTGCGAGTCCCTCGCGTCGGCGGCCGTCCCCTCGCCTACCAATTGTTAATGACTAGTTACTGATCACGAACGCATCCCCTACGGACTCGGGACGGGGGCCGCCCCCTCCTATCAGTTGTTAACGATCAATTAATTGACCACCCATGGACTCGCGTCGGCGGCCGCCCCCTCGCCTGTTCGGTACGTGGTTAATGATTAGTTATTGAGCACCCATGGACTCGGGCCGGGGGCAAATCCCCTGCGCCGCCTCCTCCGACCAAACTCCACCCAGTCACTCCATCAACACCTATTACTCAGTTAATGATAGTGACTGGAGCCGCCACCACCCAAACACCAACATCGCCTCCTCCTCCTCCTCCTCCTCCTGCTCCTCCGTCTCCGCCGCCTCCTCCTCCTCCTCCTCCTCCTCCTGCTGCTGCTGCTGCTCCCCATTCGCCCCCTGCTCCTGCTTCCCCACCTGCTCCTGCTCCTGCGCCGTCGTTGCTGCACACGCCGTCCTCCCGAGTCCGCATCAGAAGCGCGTTCTCCCCTGTGCACTCCGAGTGACGCGCAACCGCAGTGACGGCGGCGGTGGTGGTGGTGGAGGGTGGCGGCGGCGCGTTGGCGGCGGCGGGGTCGGCGGCGGAGGCGACGCGGCTGCCGCGCCCGGGCGATGGCAGCCACTCGCTGATCGACACGGACGACCCCTCGCCCTCGTCCTCCTCACCCTCGCCCTCCTGCCCTGCCGCTGCCTCCTCCTCCTCCTCCTCCTCGCCCTCGCCCTCCTGCCCCGCCTCGGCCTCCGCCTCCTCCTCCTCCTGCTCTCCCTCCGCCGCCTCCTCCTCCGCCGCCGCTGCTTCCTCCTCCTCCTTCCCCGCCTCCGCCTCGCCCAACCCCTCCTCCTCGCCCCCCTCCCCACAGACGCCCCGCAGCAGCAGCTCGTGAAACCGCCGCCCCACCGCCGCCGAAGAGAGCTCGGCGCGTATGCGGCGGGCAGCAGCCTCCCGCGTCGATGCTGACAACTCTCCAGCTGCGACCCTGCGCAGTGCGTCCGCGGTACCGGCCACACTCGGCGTGGCGGCGAAGCCGTCGCTGAGAAAGCTGCGCTGCACAAACGGAACAGAGAGGCCATGCCACGTGTAGTCCGCCATAGCGCCGAACGCGGTGGTGACGGCGGGTGTGCCAACGCGCTGCGCCTCGAGCAGCGGCAAGCCGAACCCTTCGCTCTTCGATGGCATCAGCAGGACGTCCGCTGCTGCCAGCATCTCCCACGAGGCACTCCAGTCCAGCACCCGGTCCTCCACTGTGAAGGAGCCTGCTGGCAGCCCTGCGGCCCGCAGCAGCCCCGCCAGGCTGATTGCGGGGTCGGCGGTGTGTTGCTCCGGCAGCCCGTTGCCCTCGGCAGCGAGGATGTGCGCGGTAGACATCACTTTGAGAAAGAGGTGCGCCCCCGCCACCGTCTCTCGCAGCGCCTTGAACGCCAGCACCGCCACATCCAGCGCCTTTCGGTTCACCGCGTCGTAGTTGCCACAGTTGACCAGCGCGACAAACGCGGCGGTCGGCATACCGTGCTTGCGGCGCAGCGACGGGCGGAGCGCGTCGATCCCACCGAGGCCATCCCCGTAGAAGGCCTCGTGCAGCCCTGGCGGCGGCTCCGCCACATGCGGGATGGTGCCGACCCATTTGCTGGCCGGGTCAAACTCACCGCTCTCGGCCGGCGACTCGCGAAGCATCTGCTCCGCCTACGTGCTGAGTGCGTCAACCTCGGGGCGGGAGGACGGTGTTGTGCAGTGTATTTGGAGCACCGCGTGAGTACGAGGGGCTGCGAGTACGGCTGAATACGTGTCCGCTCGAGCGCTAGTGGGAACCGATGAGTACGCCTTGCGCTTCTAGGCTGCTCTGCCGACGGCGCCAGCGCAGCGATGGCGTCGAAAGCGGAGAGCGCTCGCCTGCGTACCGGGCGGGTGTCGGTCAGATATTGATTGATTCATCATCAATTTAACAGCGCGCGCCTACCGGGCGGGTGTCGGTCGCAGCTTTCGGCCGTCTCAGGCCATCTGTGCGTGTTGCCATCTGTGCGCGCTAGCCCCGCGGCGTCGGGTGTGCTGGAGCCCCTCGCCGGTGTGCTGCGCGTGGGTGCCTCCGCTCAATGCCTCTTTATAAATTAATAAGGAGTTTCGAATTAATCAATTAAGGCGCGCGCCGCTGCGACGGGACAAACGCGTCAAAGTGCGACGGGAACCAAAAGACGGAGTAGGGCCGGGTGCGGTCCACGTCGCTCAGCACCTATTCACAGCGCGGCGAAGCCAGCTCACACTCGCGCGGCCGACGAGGTAGCCTCGGCACTGTCTTGATGGCGAGAGGTGGGGAGATATGGGGAGAGACGGTCAGAGATGGAGAGATGGAGATACGAGGAGATGTGGCGAGATATCGCGAGATGCCAGGTTTGCGTCGAGCAAGAGGATCACGGCGTCGATGGCGTGTCGTCTCGCCGCCGCATCGACGGCCGAGACGAGGACGCCGTTGCCGCGGCCCCAGTACGCCTCGGGAAGCGGCACGTCGATGAAGCCGAACCGCGACGAGCGGGCGGCGGTGGCGGCGGACGGCGCGCTCTCCGTCGGCAGTCGGCCGTCGCCGCCCGCTGCGAGCAGCGACGCCTCGGAGAAGGTGTAGACTCTGTCCGGGTCGGGGAGCACTCCGGGCCGAAACGCCGCGTTCCACACCACGGCGTAACCGAGGTCGACGAGGGCGGCGCCGAGCGTCGAGAGTTGGCTCTGGTAGGCGCCAAATCCCCACGGCCACGCGGGAGCGATGAGGAGCACCCTCAGTTTGCCGTCGCCGCCGTCGACGCACGCGGAGGGAGGATTGGAGGGCGCGACGCCGCTAACCGCTGCGACGGCCAGGGAAGGCGAGAGGAGGGCGGTGAAGAGCAGCAGCGAGCGAGCGAGCGCTGTCATCGAGCGGGTGCCGGGCCGGCTACCTCCTGTATCGGGGTTATGGGGGGTTTCGAGGTGTGAACGTGAACAGAGTAGCCAGATCGCTGTCGATCGTTACGGCACGCATGGGGGGCCTCCCGGACGTATGATCCTAGCCCAATAAGCTCCACGGAGCAGATTTGGATTTGTGACAGAATTAAATGCACTGCCCCTACACGGTACTAACGATCGTAGTTTTGGGGGCGGCGCCCCTCACGGCACCACACTGACGCAGGACAGCCCGAGATTAGCCTAGCAGTGACTGGGAATCGCCTGCCGGTCGGCTTGGCACGAGCCAAGCACTTGGGTGGCCGTCAACCGAGTCCGAGCGGCGCCTGAGGTGGGTGCCACGGCGTCCGCACGAAGGCGTGGCGGGGTGAGGAGCCAGGGGTGGTGAACACCTCCCCGACGGGCGCGCGGCGCGCCGGATGGTCCGCCGAGGCCGCCGCCGCCCCGGCGGCGGCGATGGGGGCGGCGGCGCCGATCCGGCCGGCGTTTGTCGGCTCCACCTACAGAAGAGCAGTCTCTGTGGGTCGACGATACTAACTCGGTAGTAACGCTGAGCGGTGCTGTGCGACGCCGCGTCGTGCGCGAGGCGACCTCCTGAGGCTACCTGAGCTGGCAATGGATGCCACCAGGACGCACGGCTAGCAGGAGCCAGTCGGGCATGCCCTGCTGTGGAGCAGAGCCTGCTGGCGCACCGGCGATACTAACTCAGCGCGCCGCGAGAGGCGAATCTGGGCGACTTTGGAGGCGCAGTTCTCGAGGTTGCCGTCGACGATTGATGTCGGGTAACTTGTCACTGCCGTCCGGGAAGCTCTTCTCTCAGCAGGCCAAGCGCCGTGGCATCGCGCCGCTCGCAGCGCTGTCGCGGCGCCGAGAACCCCCAAAACTCGCGAGACCTCGATACTAACAAAGACTACGATACTGGGTCAAGAAAAAGATCGACGCGACTTTGCCACTAACACGGCAAAGAAGACAGGGTGGCCCGCCACAACGACCCCTGGAATTGCGACTCGCCGCTTTCCTCCCGCTGTGATTCTGTGTGAGCTCTGTGTCTTGATTTGCCACGACCCCGCCAACGGCGTCCTGCGCACCGAGGAGCAGAACGCGCTCTTCAAGCAGGGGCTGGGCTGCCTCGGCACGCTCTACTCCCACCCGCACACTTGGGTGCTGCGGCTGACCTCCTTCCCGGACGGCCACAAGGCGGAGAACCAGGCCGAAGGCACCAACGTGGCCAAGTACTTTGACCGCGGCTGGTGCTACACCGAGCAGAGCTGGGCTGGCCTGACAAAGGCCTGGACCCTCTCGCTCGACCTCGGCAAGATGCGCGCCGGCGTGGAGTACGACTTCGTCAACCTCATCACCGACTGCATCCAGGACGGCGGCCGGCGCCCTCCGCTGCTGCCGTCTGCGTTCGCGGCGGAGCTTGAGACGAAGAGCTTCACCAACGGCAAGGACGACAAGCCGCTGGTGAAGCGGCTGTACGAGGCCGCCTTCAAGGAGCAGTTTGGCAAGGCGACCGTGCTGGGCTACGGCATGCTCGGCTGGGGCGACGCGGAGGCGGCGCAGCTGGCGGAGGTCCTCGCGAGCGGGGCAGCGCCGCGGCTCGAGACGCTCTATCTCGGCGGCAACAAGATTGGCGACGAGGGCTGCAAGGCGCTGGCCGCCGCCCTCAAGGAGGGGGCCGCCCCGAGCTTGAAGGCGCGAGACGCCTCCCCCCCTCGCCACACGCCCCTCCCCCGCCCAATGCTCATCGCGCCTCCCGTCGCGTGCAGAAGCTCGAGGTGGGCTACCCGAACAAGAAGCAGCCTGAGCTGGTGGCCGTGTGCGAGGAGCGCGGCATCGACCTCTGCTGAGCCTCTCCAGCCCCGGCCGGGTGGCGAGGGCGCGGGGCCCGGCGGGACCGCCGTGCGAGCTCGGCAGAGAGCGTCACAGACCGGCACGGCCGCGTGTGCAGCTAGTCAGAGTCACCCACAATCATGCACAGATGAACCTTCATTGCTTGCGCGTTGCCCAGATGTGTTGTGGCTTGTGCGCATTGGCCATATTGCCATTCATCTTTGGCGCGCGTGCGCGCGGGGGAGGGAGGCCGAGGGGCGAGGGAGACGTGGCGTACCAACACTCTACAAACCAGACTTTTTGTAATCGTACCAGACATCGGAAAGAGAGGGGGGAGGGCGAGGAGGTGCGCTGCAGCGCGCGGACCGGCACCGGCACCGGTGCGCCGGGAGGGTGCCGGTCGCTCGGTCGTCATCGGATAACGACGCACCATCCTCCCGCGTACTCGTCGCGTATGTGTACTCTCGAGTGACCTCGCATGGTGTAAAGCCGTGGTGTGTAGCCTCACGCCGCGCGAGGCAGCAGCTCCACCTCTCCCGGGCTGGTGGGGCGGGAGGCCCGCTCGAGCCGCGACAGCTGGCCTATTGAGAGATGGACGAGAGTTACTCCGAGAGACTCCCAGGACGTGTCAAGAGCCACCGAGCCTCGAGCTGTGAATTAAGGGAAGGGGGCTCAACCCGCTTTGACTGGGAGGGGAGATGTTCGAGGAGCTTCGACCACATCTTGTCCACATCCCGTCGTCCTGCGCAGTAGTCGAGTCGTTAAGAATTTAGCGCGCCGCTAAGTGAATGTTGTTCCTCGGCGGGGAAAGGGCTGGAGGAGGATGGGGGGGGGGAGGGAGGGGGGGGGGGGGGGGAAAAAAGGGGGGGGGGAAA